CAACTTGAAGAAGTGCTGCTTTGCACAGGCCAGTGTAGAGTACTTGGGCCATGTTGTATCAAAAGGAGTGACAGCAGATTAGTCTAAAATCGAGGCTATGTTAAAGTGGCCCCCCAAAAATCTGAGGGAGCTGAGGGGATTTCTAGGACTTACAGGGTACTACAGAAGGATTGTCAAGGGATACAACACCATAGCATGGCCACTCACTGAGCAGTTGAAGAAGGACAGGTTCCTATGGGGGGAGACGGCTACATCAGCATTCGAGAGCTTGAAGAAGGCTATGACTACGATGCCGGTCCTAGCCTTGCCAGATTTCACTCAGATCTTCATAATGGAGACAGATGCGTCTGGATACGGGCTGAGTGCAGTACTTATGCAGAGTCGTAGGCCCATTGCCTATTTCAGCCAAGTGTTGACTGTTCGAACCAGTCTGAAGTCAGTTTATGAGAGCATGGTTTAAAATTGCGCAATATGAGGCTTGCCTTTACACAATTCCAGTAAAAAACGCCTCGATGCTTACGCCTCAAGTTTTTTTTTAAATGAGGCTTGCGCCTCAACTTGGTTGAGGCCCGCCTCGCCTCACTGGCATGAGACTTATGCCTCACGCTATATATATTAAAACTTACATAAATCTTGAAGTAAATGCCCGACATTGGACTCTATAGGAGAGGAGGAAGGGGATAGAGCAGTTCATCATAATGATGATTCAAATGAAGACCCCTTAGTGATGACTTATGAGTTTTTATGTGATATGTCATTGCTATTTATTTTTGGAAATTTGAATTATATGTTAATGAAAAGAATTATGGGATTTGGGAAAGATAGAATTTTGAGTTGAACTATATTTCATGTTGTCTTATTATTGAGATATTTTGATTTCACTTAATATCTTATGCTTTTTTATGTTTTATATTATTCACTCATTAGTATATAAAAAATTTATCATTTTATGTTTACGCAATCTTTTGATTTTGAGGCTTACGCCTCGCCTCACAAATGAAAAATGCCTCAATACCTGATTACGCAATTTTAAACATTGTATGAGAGAGAGTTAATGGCCATCGTTTTGGCTATCCAGACGTGGTGTTCCTACCTACTTGGGAGGCATTTCATTGTCAGGACTGATTAGCGGAGCTTGAATTACCTACTGGAACAACGGATGGTGACAGAGGAGCATCAGAGGTGGCTATCCAAGTTGATGGGGTATGATTTTTAGATTTAGTATAGACCAAGAGTGGAGAACAAGGCGGCAGATGCCTTGTCTAGATGTATGGGGTTGCTATAGACGGTGTCACTCTCTGTTCCTTTGATGCTTAATTGGGAGGCCATCAGAGAAGAAAGTGCTAGGGATGAGGATTTGGGGAAGATCAGGGCAGACTTACTGAAAGAAGGAGATAGCCACCTAGGGTACTCATTGGAGGGGGACAGACTGCTATATCGGGGGAGGTTCGTGATGCCTCGAATCTCGATCCACATCCCAAACTTACTCCAGGAGTTTCATGGAAGCGATGTTGGGGGCCATTCAGGCGTGCAGAAGACATACAGGAGGCTAGCTTTGGAACTGTATTGAAAGGGGATGCATAAAGATGTAGATGAGATGGTAGCCATATGTGAGATTTGTCAAAGGAACAAATACATGGCTATGTCACAAGGAGGACTACTACAGTCATTGGCGCTACCGGGACAAGTATGGGAGGAGATATCCATGGACTTCATTGATGGGTTGCCCCGTTCAGAAGGATTCACAGTAATTTTAGTGGTGGTGGACAGGTTGAGCAAGTATGCACATTTCATTTCCCTCCAGCACCCCTACATCGCAGCGACAGTGGCTTCAACATTCATCAAAGAAGTGGTCAGGCTACATGGAGTACCAGAGGCGATAGTATCAGTTAGAGATAAGGTGTTCCTCAGCCATTTTTGGAGGGAGTTATTCAGGTTTAAGGGGACAGTTCTGAAAAGAAGCACATCTTACCACCCACAGACGGATGACCAAACGGAGGTAGTCAACAGGGGCTTGGAGACTTACCTGAGATGCTTTGTGTCGGAAACACCCAAGCTATGGGCTAAGTGGCTATCATGGGCTGAGTACTAGTGCAACACCTCTTTTCATTCTGATTCTCAGATGACCCCATTCAAGGTGTTGTACGGAAGGGATCCTCCCCATTTGGTGCACTTTGGGAGTAGCAGTACTCCAGTTTCTTCAGTAGAGGAATACTTGGAGGAGAGGGATAGAGTGCTAGAAGAGTTGAAGAGACATCTGTTGAGGGCTTAACAGATTATGAAGAAACAGGCTGATGAGCATAGAAAGCACACCCAGTTTGAAGTGGGGGAGAGGGTGTTCTTAAAGCTCCGACCGTATAGACAGAAGACAGTCGCCAATCGAAGGAATGAGAAGCTTGCTCCAAGGTATTTTGTGCCTTCTGAAGTGTTGGAGAAGATCAGAGCAGTAGCATATCGACTAAAGCTAGCATCAACGGCGACTTATATCTGATCTTCATGTATCGCAGCTGAGAAAAGCCATTGGTGATTATACTGCCAATTCTGAGCTACCGGTGACACTTACTGAGGATTTCGAGGTGGTTTTGAAACCCTTAGCGTCAGAAAGAAGATGGAACTAAGTGTTGACCCAGTGGAAGAACCTTCCTGACTACGAGGCCACGTGGGAACCATACGAGGGGATGAAAACATCAGTTTCCTAGCTTTCACCTTGAGGACAAGGTGGTTCTTTGGGAGCGGGGTAATATTACGGAACCAGCCAAACCAGCCCAGGAGGGGCCGGTCCAGTTCTTCAAGAGGAGGGCTAAGCCGCCTCCTTGATGTGTTTCCGCCCAGCTTGTGGGCCCCCCTTGAGGTGGCAATAGGAGAGAGGGGAAGGAATTTTGTAATTAAGTTTATATTAGGGAAGTGGATTTAATTAATTAAAAGAATTGATATCTTTTGTATTAATTAAATAAATTAGGAAATTTTTAAGGAGGTGGATTTAATTAATTAAAAGATTTGATTACTTTTATATTAATTAAATAATATCTTATATTAGGAAGTTTTTAAGGAGGTGGAGTTTTAAGGAGGTGGAGAGGGCTATTTAAAAGGCATGAAGGGGCTAAGGTAGGTATGCTTAGATTTGAGTTTCTCTTGGAGTCTTTTAAGGTTTGAGGGCTCTAGACCTTGCGTCTAGAGATTGGGAGAGAACGATCCTCATCTTGAATAGAGGATCACTTGTATCTTGCTTTGTGTTAGTTTTGTTTTATTTCCCTTGTTGCAACCCACTGTTTTGGGGCTGATTTCGCCCAGATTTTGCTTTATTCCTGCTGTTTTTCTTCCAATTAGTGGTAGGTGTGCTTGCGAACTCAAGTATTCACTTACGGTTACTTGCGAACTCAAGTATTTCCTATCATATGGTTACCTAATTTATCCCATGATATATCTTCAGTATGTATTTTAAACATATGACATCCCTTTTGGAATTTCAAATAAGATTATTTATGATATATTATAAACTTTTTAAGTACCTTGTTATTTACAACTGATATGCTAAATGAGGTATTGAACACAGTATCTTTGAATAACGCTATGCAATCATCCATGCAGAAATGGCGTATGAAAGCCTTGAGCAAAATCCAGAAGCAAATTACAAATGTGTAGGCAATTGCAATTTATTAAGATGTCTTTTTCTTTTTCATGATGGACTTGGCTATAGTTTTTCCATTAGAAGCCATTTTTGTTAAAAAAAATCAGTGATAATACTTTGTTTTTTGTATAATAGATTTCATTTACAATCATTTTTTTTGTCTATTTTGAATCCAAGGTTTGGGAAACAAAGAACTAATAACCATCTTCTCTGGTGGTTGAATTGAGATTGTAAGTTGGAAAAGGCTAGATGAATACTGAGAAATAATGATGATGTTTGATGTAGTGTGGGAGCAGCATGGATTGGGGGTGCAAACGAGTCGAGTCGAGCTCGAGCCAAGGGGTGTTCGAGTCGAGCCTGACAATCAAAACCCGAGCTCGAGCTCGAGCTCGAACTCGAGTCGAGCTCAAAATCCGAGCTCGAGCTCGACTCGTCGTCAAATCGAGCGGCTCGTACGAGGCTGGCTATAGAGCCCGTCGTCAGCGCTCGTGACGGGCGGCCCGGGTGACCGCGTGACCGCGTCCCGTCGACAAATCGAGCCCGTCGTCGACGCTTCGCCAGACAAAAGCCGCGTGACCGCGGTCCGCGTCCGACCCCCGCACGATCCCGCTCCGGCTGGCGCAGCCCGCGTCCGCTCCCGCGGTCCCGCCTCCCGCAGACGCAGCCCGCGCGACCGCGTCCGATCCCGTGCACGCGGCGTAGCCCGATCCCGCTCCCGCCTCCCGCTGGCGCAGCTCGCTGGCGCAACCCGCGGCCTCCCGCAGACGCGACCCGAGTAGCTCGACGAGCCAACGAGTCGATCAGCCCAGTGTCCGAGCTCGAGCTCGTTTAGCAATTCGAGCTCGAATCGTGTTCGAGCTCGACTCGCGAGCTTCGATAAGCTTCGGCTCGTCGAGCCGAGCCGGCTCGCGAGCCCCGGCTTGAACTCGGTTTTGCACCCCTAGCATGGATAGAACACCGTTATAGAAACTAAATTTAGATGATTTGGGCTTTTATATTGGAGAGCTGAAGATGTTCAAACATGGCAGGTGCATAAAATAGAAGGAATAAGAAGCATGGTCGACAAAATGCAAGATACAGTGAAGTTGTGCAGTTTACACAAGTTGGATTTAATACCACATCAAGAAACACTTAATAAAAGGATTATTCATAAGTTTGATCACCAGAATCTGGGAAACGGTTAATGATTGTGATCATATTGATGGAAATATATTGTTTCTTATGATTACAAGTAACTAGAAATCAGTTTGCTTGAATTTCACAGGGTTCGGTAGTTCACCTATTGTTAACAGACCATCTTTTACGTGCCAACAGCAAATACAGAATTTTATCGACTTTTTTCTTTCTTAATACTAGCTTTGCTGATAAATAGGAGCTGGAACGGGAGAGAACTACAAGGATAGAATTGGAAAAGGTTGCATCTCGTCAAACTTCAATGGTTGCAAATCAAAATTCTTCACCTAATTTGAAAAACTCGTATGCTGATAATGGTAAATATCATTTATTTGTGATCTTAATGCCAGAAAATATTATTTCATCTTCAACAGTTATATACCAGAAATTTGCTTCTTTTTAACAGGAAATTTCCCTCAGAGGAAGCTCTCCAGTGCCAAGAGCTTGATTGATATGGATGAAAGCATTTTCTTGCAAGCTTCTCTGGACTCATCTGAAAAATTTTCCTCAGAGAGGAGAACTTCTGGAGAATTGACCCTGCCCTCGTACTACTTGAAGAGCATGACGCCTAGTGCTTTTGAAGCTGCTCTTCGTCAGAAAGATGGAGAGCTTGCATCATATATTTCTCGTTTGGTAATGGAACTATCTCATTGTTTTTCTTCTCATGATTGATCAGGGAAAATTGGGTTTATTTGTGTTCAAGTTATCGAAGCTACATATATGATTTTGAAGACATTGTGGACCATACTTTTCCTTCGATTATCCTCATAAGGATATCCATTCAGACTCATCTATATTCAGTTTATGAACTTACCATGCCTTACAGAAACCAAAATTTTATCAGTAGCATTATGCGTGAATTGAATTGTACTGGACCATACTTTTAGAATAATGATTTTTAAATTTCTAATTAGAATTTGTGCTCACTTCCTAGTCATTTAAATGAGAATTTTCATCTTTTTTTTATGTTTACTAACTATGCAGGCTTCAACAGAATCCACCCGTGATTCTTTGGCTGAGGAACTTGTTAAACTGACGCGAGAGGTTAAAGAGTTTTGTGCTTTTGTCCCTTCGTCATTTTTTGCATCAGCCAGCTGATCCTTATGTTAATACTACATGCATCAGCCAGCTGATCCTTATGTTAATACTACATTTCTCAGTCTGAAAAATTCAGAACGGAAGCTGCTTTTCTGCCTGGAATTCGTGCCGAGCTGGATGCATTAAGGAGAAGACATAATGCTGCTCTAGAACTTATGGGTGAACGTGATGAAGAGGTGCTAGAACCATTCTACTATCTTTTGCTTAATAGCTATATTGACGTGATCAATTACTGTCTTAATGCTATTGGTATAGATTTGCATCAATAAAAAAAAATCATTTGTTGAAAATAACCATTTTAGATGTTTCAGAAATAATTTTTCAGTTTGGGGGGGTCTGAAACAGCAATTTTAATCTAGAGGAATTTTACTGAGGGGGAAATTCTTGTTTAAGCTCCTATTTAAGCCAATCAGTTAACAAATTATCTAGAAAGTTTTATTCCGAGAGGAATCTTCTTACTATGTAGATCTGCAACGTTAATAATAGAGAAAGGAAAACATTGAAAGTATTTCAGAATGTACCATACAGCCAACACTGATTTCAAAAATTATGTTAGAAATCTTGTTTTAAAAAATTATGAAATTTATTAAATATATCATTTGATTGACACCAACACTGATTTCAAACTCCACAAATCTTCTCGTGGATACCGGTTAGTCCGGTTGAAGAGGGTCATGCATGTGGTTATGGTCTTGAGTTTGAATATTAACTATGCCATAATAAATCCCAATAATAAATCCCATCTTTCGGACTTTGGGATGGGAAAAAAATCCACATATATTTTCAAAACTCAATTAAAAATGAGGATTTTAACTTCACTCAAAATGAGTACAAAATTCTAAATTTTAAAGCATATTTTTCATTTTCAAACATCTTTTTCCCCCTTTTTCTGTATCAACCCTGGCCGCAGATTGGCAATCAAAAATTGAATCGCAAGTTTGCCTAATTTAAGATTACTTGTCATCTTATTTGTGGTTACTTTAGTTATGTTTGACTGGCTTTTTGAGCTAGTGTTTACTCAAATGATAAAAATGATAATTGTTTCTTCTTTGTAGTTGGAGGAACTGCGGGCTGATATCATTGATTTAAAAGAGATGTACCGGGAGCAAATAGATCTTCTTGTTAATAGGGTATTCTGAATCTCACTACTCTTTCTCTGTTCTTTGTTCTCATTGTCTGGAATCTCATGTTACCGTTATCTCTTTTTCAAACAGATTCAAAATTAACCCACAAGATGGTGTTTAGTGATCATCCTGCTTTTCTTAGTGTGAACATATTCATACTTATGGCAGAAGCTGAGCTTGTTTGGGCTTAACCAGACTGTTAAAATCAAAGAAATACTTGGGCCTATGATTCCTTTCTATTATAAGCTTCTTTACGATATTTTTTTTTTTCCTTTTTCTTGTTAATATGCTATTTGATGTCGCTCAATAGGACTTCCCTTTCTTGAGTTTAGACCACAGTGGGGGTTCTTTTGCTGCATATTGTAAAAACAAAAGCTTTGTTAAATGATTCACTTCCTTTGCTGCATATTGTAAAACCAAAAGCTTTTGTTAAATGATTCACTTGTGGGAATCAACATGATTCTTTCAACTTCAAAGAGCTGTGGGAATCAATAAAGTTATATATGTGCTGCACTCATTTTTCTCTTCCAGTTGTCAAGATGGATGCTGTTTTCCTAAATAATTTGACTTTTATTCAAATCAGATGAACACCCTCTTGTTGTTGAAAGTGAAATCTAAGCTGATCATTGGGATGCGCAAACTCGAGCAACTCGGTCTCATGTTATCTTCGTCGATTGTACCATCGGCCTCTTTGCAATTGTCTAACTGAAGCGACGTCTCTTCTAGGTAAACATGTATCATGATTGTATTGAGATTTAGGCTTCTGGTTTGCAGGGGCAGAATTGTGTAGTGGTGACTGGTGAGGGGGGCTTTGCCTTCCCTCTTAAAAAATCATAACGCCTTTTGGCCTTCCGCTATTTTCATCCAATTTGTTGAACTTTTTTAACATTTTGTTAATAAGTTTGTGAAAAATGATTTTGTAAAATAAATTATTTTTATACCTTTTTATATATTTTTATTTTTTTTATAAATTTGTTATTTGCCTTTTAGAACTAATGCTGGTTTCGCCCATGCTGATTTGTTTCTTCTCAAATGCATTGTTCGTTTTCTGGGAGCTAATGCGGTTGATAGGTGCTTCAGTATTTTGAGCAATTCCCACTGAAGAGTTATTGTCCTGTAATCGTATATTTTTGCAAGGCTGCCTGCAGAAAGAGACAGCGTTGCAAAGTTTTATTGCGTAACTACAGGCAAACTCTTTGTATTTCTTCATTAAGAATGTTTTCAAGAATAGGTTACATTCCCCGAATAGAATCCTGCAATTTGTTACTTCTATTTGTTTTTTTTTTTAAATTTGTTTTAATCATTGATTATATAGTTTATATATATAAAATACTGCATATATATTCATGTGAATGTGATTCACACTAATAAAAAATTTATATATTTATCTATGCTTTATGAGGTATTTTGTAGGGGGTGTTGTCAAGATCGAATTTCAGGTCGGGTTCGGGTTAAACTTGAAGCTAACTCGGATTCAAATGGGTTGATCCTAACCCGACACTATTATGTAATTGTGTTGAAAATTTGCACCTAGATCTGACCCGTCGTGTTACTGGGTTGACCTGACCCGACACGGTTGAGCTTAGGCTGGCAGGATGACAGATGATAGGTGGGCGCGGATGTGAGTGCCGGCGGGCAGGCTCGGGCGCACGTGCGTGGGCGCGAGCAACCTCGGGTGTGCGTGGGCGCGTGTGGGCAGCCATGGGCAACTTCGGGCGCAACGTGGGCGGGTGCGGGCAATAGCGGACAGGCTGTCAGCTCATTTCAAATGGGTTTCTGAGTTGACCTGGAAACTTGACTGGTCAACTTGAACCCTACCCATGTTTTCAAACGGGTGGAATCCGAGAACCTGAACCAGACCTGTTTTGAATTCGGGTCGGGTTCGGATCGGATTTTCGTGTCGTTTCAAATATTGACACCCCTAGTATTATGTGAAGATGAGATAGGCTCATAAGGTTTTAATTTTTATATAAAAATGTTCAACTTATTATAACCTGACTATTTAGTTGAGAAAAATCACATGATCACTATCTTGGATAAATTTTATATATTAATGTTTCATTTGAGACGGTTTTCTGATTACTTTCTAAAGCAGTTTTCTAATATAAAAATTTTTAGTTCAAAAAATTTTGTATTAAAAAGATACTGTAGAAAGCAGTAAGAAAGTTGTCTTAAACAAAGCCTAAATGAATATGCTCAATCTCTCTCAAAAGAGTAATTGGAGCTATCAAATTTCATAAGGTTGACCTTTTGAGTAGGCATTAAGCATTTGAATAGTCATTTGAGATAGTTGTGTAGTTTATTAGTAGGTTTTAGTTGAGCCGCATAGGATTTATGTTCCCACAAGATAAAATATAAGGTCAATCTAGACATTTCTCTCAAGAGGTTATTAATATTCTTAAGGACATTTCTCTTAAGAGATTATGGAGTGTAAATCACATTATTATTTTACGAAGATTCATACTCTAATAGCATAACATAAGATCAATCCATTTTCTCTTATGTCAAGGTGCGTCAAGGTGGATACTCTCATATGATATTGTGATTGTGAATCTAGCACCGATACCCTTACAAAAGTAGTGAAGCTATATAACTTCAAAACTAATGCTCGAAATCTTTGTTTCACTTTTCTCTTTCCCCTTATAAGGTATTATCTTTTGAAGCCAAATGACTTGTAATATCTACACTTGGGAATATTTTACTATCTATCTTTAAAGCTTTACTATTGTCATTCTAGTTTTGTTTGAATCTCATTGAACACAAATTTTTATTACCCTCCACACAATTTTTCAATGCCTCAATTGGGAAAGATTTCTCTATTCATCTTTGGAGTTGTGCTTGTCATCATTTAGCATTATAGTTACAACCTCATTTGTGTTTAGTTAATGACCTACTAGTTACTTAGTAACCAAGGTTCATACCATTAGATCGGTAAGAACATAATAATTAGACATAGAATATTATTATATTGTTAGTAGATTCAAATACAAGTTGATACTCGATCTTATTTTGAAGATAATGATATAAAATCTTGATTTGATGATATTTTCTCAAGTGATAAAATACATATACAAAGATGGTGTTATTTTCTTAGTGGATCTGATATGATGTTTTTTTGAAGAGTATATATATTTATATATATTATAAATCATACAAATCATATATCACACGTTATGAAAAAATGTGCAACATGAATTAATATAAAGCTCATTATAAACTAACTTATATAATGTAAATAATAGAGATTGCAATATGATTAAAAAAATTGTGCAATATATATGTATAAACATTCATCATAACTTTTAGATGCAATATTATAGATCTAACATAGAGAGGAACATGAGATATCATAAGTCATCCACATACAAGGCATACCACTGATACTCTAATATCTCACCATGTGTCTCATATTATAAAGCCCCAATCTTTATGTAAACATCCAATTACTTTCTTATGATTTTAAATGAAATAAATGCAAAAAAAAGGCATATTATTTATGTCTTACATTATAGAAGTCATGCATGACATACAATGACAAATAGATTGATACATTCTTATATTTTGTGTGCAATAATGTAGAAAATACATAATAATATAATTAGTTTAGAATGTTATAGCTTATAAAAAGTGAATAATAAAATACATTTAAGATCCATATTGCAACAACATATGTAATAGCAATCAATGTTGGTAAATAAAAAAAAGTAATATCTTATTCATAAGTAATCAATTAGAATAATATTCAGTGTGTAAGAATCATAAAAAACATAAACATATTTGTAGGAATATGATTGTAAGTTAGATGTCATAATTCTATCATGATATTAATTGTCTACAAGCACTGAATAAACTTTGTATAATAAATCATTCCATATGATCATTAATCACCATATAATTCACATGTCCTTTATCATGTAGGATTTAAACAATACAAAAAAATAAGAGAAATGATGGAAACTTACTAAATTTATCCATACTTATTTGAATCTGCATTAGCTCACATGAGTAATTATGAACTATAAATTGCAACATAAACACTAAAAGAAAATTTATTAAAACACAGAATCACGTCTACATGAGGGAATACTATAAAAAATCATATATGTCAAATACAATAACTATTGAAATCTAATTAAGATAGGAGAATGTTGCCTTGCCTCGAGTAAATAGATTTTTCACAATTGTTATGATGTTAAGTCCTCAGTATTTAAGGTTTTCTTTATTTCCTCTCTCTCTCTCTCTCTCTCTCTCTCTCTCTCTCTCTCTCTCTCTCTCTCTCTCTCTCTCTCTCCATCATCTCTTATAATTGAATGGAAGAGAAAAGGCATGGAAAATGGCTTGAGAAAGATGAGAGAGGGAAATTCAATTGTTTTCACTTTTTAATCTTCTAGTGAGAATTTAAGTTATACAGATAACTAATACTCAAATTAAGCTAGTCCACCTAAAATTATGAAAAATTATGCATAAATTCTAAATTAAATTAGGGGTACAAAAGCAAAGTAAGTTTGTAAAATGGATATCATAGAGCTTTAGAAAGTCTAATAAAAAAACTTGTCATTATATCGAACACGAATCAACAAACTATACAATAAATTGCTTATTTAATAGTATGGGAGATTGGACTATTATATTCATGATTAGAAAATCATATGTATATAGCTAAATGTGTGGACCCCAAGAGCTCATGATGTGCATAAGCTTATTTCGATGATAGTAAATATACGATTAGAAGTTCTAATGATTAAGTTTTCAGTAATTTTAAGACTAGGTGATTGAACGATTTCTATCAATTCGATAATTCAATATATTTTTTTTTGACAATTCAATAATCAATGAATTCAAAAGAGGATTGATTTGGGATTTAGAGTATCATTAGAACATAATAATGATGTCTCTTAGAGAATGAGTTGTAAGTTTACTAATGATGCCTCAATATCTAATCAACTAAATCAATAAGCTTGAATTAAAATTAAAAATATTAGGCAGGGCTCTACACACTTTCATTATACTTCAACCGACTAACATCTCATATAAAAAAATGGAATATGTACATTTAACCAATTTAGAAATATGATTTTAAAATAAATTTATAATTAATTTAGTTTAAAAACAAAATTAATTAAGTCAATAAAATATCTCAAACTTCAACTTTAAAATCAAAATATCTCTTTATCTCTAAACTTTTACAATAAAATAAAAAGCATTTTGAGTGATTTTAAGTGTTGATAAAAATTTCTTGAGAACACCAATAATAATTCATTTGCAAGCATTTTGAAGTTATTCTATAACTTATATTTGGGCGGATCTTATCGAATAAAGAAGAACATTAGATTGTAAGCACTTTTTCCACTGCGAAAAAGAAAAGATTTTACGATATCAAGATCATGATGGTATAATCATATGCCTGCAAATCTAGACATAAATGTAGGCCAAGTGAGGGCTAATTCATATAAAAATCTTAGTGTTTTATTTTCTATATTATTAAATTTATTCCTATTATGCTTCATTTACTTAATCACTTGTGCTTGAATTTTTATATAACAATGATTTAATTAATTGATTGCTATAGTAATTGGGTAGGGGTGCCAAATTATATTCACAGGTCAGATTCGGATCCAACCCGACTTTGACCCGATAATTTTTTACTTGACTTCTATATCTACCTAAAAATGATATTTTCTTTAATAAAATAAATTAATACTAATAATAATATATTATTAATAGATAATTTTATCCCTAACTAACTTAATATTTTTAAATCTAATTCAGAATTTTATAATTTAGAAGTTTTTTTATTATAATTTACTAAAATTGCACAAAAACTAATGTTACTCAAAATTATCTTTTGGACTAATTAGCTATATTAATATAGTACACAATAAAAATATTAAGAAAAAAATATATTTTAAAAGGATTATCATAAATTAAATCAAAAAATTTGACTCACAATAACTCATTCTAAATAATTCACTAAAAATAAAGAAACACACATTTGCAGTTAAAGCATTAACAAAAACTAAAAAAACAAAATTTAGGAGGTTTCCTCTCTCCAACCGAGCGCGACAAACAAAGAAAAAAAAAGTTTTGAGCCAGCTGCTTCTATCTCCTTCCGAGCACAGAAAGGATTATAAGCCAATCGCCGGTTGCAGCAGGGACGGTTGGCCGCGCTCGCGCCGGTCGCCGCTTAACTAGATGAGTTTTGTTTTTTTTTATTTAAATATTTACTTAATTTGATCTATAATATTAACTAGATTAAAGAATTTGTTCAGTGTTTTCTCTTTTTTTAGCTTCACCTACTTCCAATCTTCATATATTTCGGGATTTCTTCATCCTTCTTGGATGTATTAATATTTTTTCAGTTTCTAATCCATTTTATCCTTTTCTTTTTGTTTTAGTTTCTGCTTCTTCCGTTCTGGAATTAAGGCTCTGAGGATTCGGCTCCATTTCTTGATATAACGATTATCTTGAACGTATTTGTTGTGTTCTTGTTGTGTTTAAGTTGACTCATGGCTTTGATTTTCTTCCTTGAGGATTTTTATAAAGTTCCTGTTATTCTCCGAGTTTCATTGTTTAGGGTTTCCTCGTGGGATGGGGCGATTTCTCCTCCATTCACCCCCTACATCTGCTCTCCATTTTCCTTGCATCTGTTCCCCGACCCCCGCTCTCTCTCCATCTCTCCCGCTTCTGCAATCGGGAAGAAGGCGAAGGGTGGGTCTCCCGTACCTCGCCAGATCATTTCCACGGACTGCTGATTGTGCTGCGTTTTTTATTTCCTTAAAATTTAAAATTCGAAACGTTTGTTTATGACCTAGTTCTGCTTACGAAGGATTATAGTTACGACTAGAAATTAAGAATTTCAACCCGGAGGGCTACCGGAGTGGTACATGCCCGATCTCCTTCTTGTTTTTCTGTAGTTTTTTTTTTTTTTGTTCGCAATTTAATGTGTGTAACTGCATCATCTCATGCAATTTCCTGTTTCATTTCTGAAGAGCACTTTATACCCTTTTTAGTTTCCATCATTGTACTGAAAATTAGCTTTTCCTTTAAATGCTTTGTTAGAAATAAAATTTAGTTTTAAATGGAATACGAGACGAGGAATTACACAAGAATTGTGCTCCATGAACAAGCAATTTAAGGGTTTCCTCGTGGGATGGTGCGATTTCTCCTACATTCAATCAATTTGTTCTAGATTTCTTAGGTTGGTTCTATCATTTTTTGTGTTTTTTTGTTAGATAATTGCTCTTTTTGAGATTTAACTTGACAATGATCGCTTTTTGAAATAGTGTTTTGTAGGTTTTTAAAGGAGTGTCTTCTTCCAAAGTCCCTTGAAAAGAGTTGACGCATTATGGCTGGGATGGATGACGATGTATCTGCATTTGATGACTGGTTGCCTTCAAGTATCAGCCCAAAAACACTTTTTTCAGACGATTCATCGCAAAAAACAAACGATGGTTCTCTATCAGAGCCAAGAAAGCCAGGAGTTGTTGTCAATGATAGTAACCAAGATTGTGCGACTGGAATCCAGGTTTCAGAAGAATATTCGACAGAATTGAACACCTATAATGTGCCAAAATCCAGCACTCGAGGTGCATTGTCTAAGAGAATTGCTGGAAGAGCTGGCTTTGGAAATTTAACCCTTGATACATCACAGATCAGGAAAACTAGCTTTGATTCCCCATCCACAAATGATCGCTCCCCTTTAATTACCATTCCTCCGGGTTTAAGTCCAACAATGCTGCTCGATTCGCCAAATTTGGTTTCTAATTCTCTGGTATGTTTTTGACTCTTTGGTTCTGATGTTAAACTTTGTGAGGGGCTGTTTGGTAGCACACAGGATTTGATTTAAGTAAGATTTCGTAAATCTACTAAATCGGGATTTTGGAAATCCTCAAGAATACCATTAAATTTCGTGTGACTGTTTGACTATAGAATGGATTTAATGAACGGATTTTTCCTATCAAATTTCGGATTTCTTAGGATTTCGGAAATCCGGGATTTATCAAGAAAAGACGGAATTTTTCGTCTACAGCGGCTTTCATTTGCCGTGAGATTTGATTTTGCATTTTAGGCCGTTTGGCCGGATTTGGATTTCGCTCAAATCCGCCTCAAAACCGGCCTAAATCCAGCTACCAAACAGTCCCTAAGGGGTAGAATAGTTATCTATTCAATCCAAAATGCAGAATAGGTTATGCAGTTTATGCATTAGAGTTGAAATGTGATTCTGACAATTCCAATTTCCTGTTGATAAGGCCTAAATTCCATTTCTGTCCTTATTATCATAAAAAAGTTTGATTTTTATTCAACTAACAGATATTTTATGTGAGGATTTTGATTTTTTTTTAACGTTCCATAAATTTGAGTTTTCTGTTATGTAGATACGAACTCTTTTGAATCTGTAGAATCAGGGAAAGAAATCCTTCTTCATTCCAATTTTAACTAGTTATTTTATGTTCAATTTTTCTACTGTGCTTGAATCCTGAGACAACTAAAAACATGTTCCTCAATCAAACTTTTTCTATATCTTTTAACCTATAATTAGTTGCATGCTTACTTCCAGATTGAGCCATTTCGGTCTACTGACAAGATGGACTGCATGGTGTGTGATAATATTGGAGCTGCTATTAATGGTGACAATATAGATCATGCCACTGAAGATATTGATCCTCCATTACCTTCCTTTAAGCTGCCTCTGTTGCCTTTTTCATGTGCAGAATCAACGGTACGTGCTGGAAATATCTATAAAGGCTATATTTTCGCTTTGACAGGTCTTATTACAGCTTCGTTTGGGACGACTTTTTTACTGCTTTTTAAAATAGCTTTATAGTATAAAAATTAAATTTTTTTTTACTAAAAAACAATAAGAAAGCCGTCCTAAATGAAGCCTACATCAAAACTTTTGCATTGTGCTAATGAATTATGAGTTATTCCAAAACGTCAAATGCTTACTACTTGAACCAAGAAATGCTGACTAAATTTCAAGTGTAAATGTACAATATAACATTATGAAGTTTTGTATTTTTGGAAAGGAAAATTATTATTGATTCATTTATTAATTTAACTTTGCTTGATAATTTTTTTAAGCATTTTTTTCATAAATATACTGTTTTTCTTTTCGTATGACATGTTATTGAACTAATATGGCAGGCAAACTCGATGTCCTGATTGCAACGATGCAGTCCGTTTGGCAATTCTACGTCGTTTCAAGTACCGTGTCGCGTTGATGCACGTGTTGCTTGATTCGCCGGTTTCACTCCCTCTATGAGGCAAACTCGATGTCCTGATTGCAACGATGCAGTCCGTTTGGCAATTCTACGTCGTTTCAAGTACCGTGTCGCGTTGATGCACGTGTTGCTTGATTCGCCGGTTTCACTCCCTCTATGCGTGGTTTGAAGTGTAGGGGTCTACAAGCTAATTCTGATATGACTTGTTCATTTCTATCAAAACAAATGAATATGCTTTGTTTTCACAAACTCTGTATGTCTTAGTTCATCTCTATTGTAAACATTATTATACCTGCTATATTATTATTTTGATATTTATATGCTTAACTGGCCAACGGGCTTCAATACATTGCTAGACATATGTATTTTGATGAGAAAGTGTGGCCTCTTGTTGCTTCTTGATGCATCCATCTTTTTGCGCAAAAATTGAATGGTATAATCTTGTAAGTAGTATCATCTTAATCCACATTTCTGATGGATCATGTCATTCTCAGCCAGAATTGAGTATCCATCCTCAGCAGCCCAATCCTCAAGATGGGTTTTCCACCTTGTCTAAAGAAAAGGGTTCCACTGACACATTGAATTCTAACCTCAATAGCAATCATGTCCCTATTCTTGATGACCCTCAAGAAGGTGACGATGGTCCAAAAGGAGAATTCACTTCTGCTTTTCTTGTTGCTCCAACCAAGGATGGTTACAACTGGCGCAAGTATGGTCAAAAGCAGGTGAAGGGTAGCGAATTTCCGCGAAGCTACTACAAATGTACCTATCCAAATTGTGAGGTGAAGAAGAAGGTGGAGCTCTCTCAGGATGGCCATGCCACAGAGATAATCTACAAGGGAACTCATAACCATTTGAAATCTTCCATCCCATTATCTCACTCTGGTAATGACTTGCAGATTGATGAACTGGATCCTAACCAATATGCTTCTGTTCCTATCGAACAATGCGAGCAATCAAGTCCTTACGCTGAAACTCCAGATGGTGCAGACGCTTCATCATTTCTTTCAAATGATGATGAGGATGAACAGGAAACTCATGGAAGTGCATCTCCGGATCGCGACAGCGATGGAGATGAAACTGAATCAAAAAGAAGGTCATCCCTATAGTCATTTCGTATGGCCTGGTCAGGGTAATTCTGATTTATTGTTTACTAATTATTGGTTTGGATCAGGAAGCTAGATGCTTGTGCGCTTGAAATGAATGCAGCTTCTAGAGCAGTTCGTGAGGCGAGAGTTGTAGTTCAGACAACCAGTGAGATTGATATACTTGATGATGGATATCGCTGGCGCAAATATGGGCAGAAGGTGGTTAAAGGAAATCCAAATCCTAGGTATGTTGCTTTACCATGCAATCCTAGTAGCGAAAGAATGTTTTTAATCGAAATTTCGTTAATTTTCATTTTTAAGGAAACTTGTCCATTTTAAATGATGGAGTTCCATGCAGCAACACCCAATTGGCCTTCATTAAACTCAGTAATGACTTCCTCTAAACGCACCTAGTTTAGGCTTTGTTTGGGACGGCTTTTTAACTGCTTCTTAAGGCAGCTTTTTAGTACACAAATTTTCATTTTGTACTACAAAGTTGTTTTAAGAAGCAGTAAGAAAGCCATCCCAAATGAAACCTTAAACACCTTTGTTGCAAACCTTTTTTCAGATCATGCTAATAAAACTAACCACCAATCATTTGAGAGCCATTCCAAGGATACTAATATCAGTAATCTGATAGGAATTGTACAACTTCTTAAAGTCATTTGAATGTTACTGCTAGAGTTTGGACTTCTCCTAGAACCATTAATAAGGCAAGCAACCAACTTTGTGTTGCAGGAGTTATTATAAGTGCACCAATCCAGGCTGCAAAGTTCGCAAACATGTGGAACGAGCAGCATATGATGTCAAATCAGTGATCACAACCTATGAAGGAAAGCACAGCCATGTAGTTCCAACAGCAAGAACTAGTAATCAAGCAAGCTCGTCCACCGCCTCTATCATCACTACCGCAGCATCACCTTCTTCCTGCCTTCTTCAGAAAAAAGCTGAAGCCGCTAGAATGGCTGATTGTTTAGGCAGGTTTGATACTCCAGCACCTCTTGGGCCTTTTGGCCTACCCAGCAGAGATCAACAGTTAGGACCAGCAGTCCCCAATTTCTCTTATGCAAGAGCACTTCAAGGCTTCAATCCAAATGTTGCCATGGCTGGCTTGGGAAACCAGACATTCAAAATGTCGGTTCTCCCTCCACTTCCTGCTTATATGTCACAGAATCACCCGGGTACTGTAGGCTACGTGGTGCAAACAATTATGGCTAAGGAAGAACCTGCAGTGAACTCCAGACCGCCGGTTCCCGGTAATTTGTCGGTCTACCATTCACTCTCTAGACGGCCTATGGGACCTTAGCTTTAGATGCTTAAAAAAACGTAGATTTTGTGTTCAGTTGCTTAGGACTGGAGGAAAAGGAAGTTCTAAGCTTGCCTTCCTCTATGGTTTAAGTTTCTTAAGAGAATTGGGTTGTGGCTTCTAATGGTGGATCTTATAGCTTTATTTCTATTTTGGAGTTAATGGTTTGTATGAATTTCTTATGGAAGTTGCTTTTCATTACAGCGAGGTGTGTGTGTGTATGCAAATTGATTGATTTTTTTGAATAATAATGAATGTTTAATTATAGACTTTTGTGTTCTTTGTGCAATAGACAGTATGAGTCTTGCTTTGTAAAAGAAGAATATTAGGCGTCTGTCGTTTATAGATGTGCTTTATCAAGCTTTTCATACATATTGGATCTTACAAATTGCTTTACCATGCTTTTCTTTCTTTTTCTTTAAAGATATAACATAAAGATAGGCATATTTCACAAGGTGTTGGTTGCTAAATTACTTTATTTGGGGGAATCTTCAAGACAATCAATGTTATATTGGGAGATTGAGTTGTAGGTCAGTTGGACGGAAGAAAATTCCTCCCGATCTCACCTGTGCTCGAATCTACTAATATGCAAAAAAAGAAAAAAAAATGATGTAATGGTTATTAAAGCTTCGGTTGGGATAGATTTTTACTGTATTCTATAGCAGTTTTTTAGTACAAAATTTTTAATTCAAGAAATTTTTGTGCTAGAAAATTGCTTTACAAAATAATAAGAAAATTGTCCCAAATGAAGCCCAAGTCATCTAATATTTATCCCTTTAGAATGATTGTATTATTTATATAGAATCAATTAAGGGTATTTTGGAAATGATTTGTAATGGCTAAGATAGATCAAATATGAAATTAGATTAATCACTAGGGCCTAGCTGAAAATTGATGTTAGTTGAACAAATCAGGTTAGTAGAAGCATGCACATCAAGGGATTAGGTCCACATCAGATTAAAAAATAAAGGCTTAAATGATTACCTATCTTCTGCAAACGGCGCCGAAGTTGTTGCTTCACCCATACTTGTCTCGATCCAGCGACTCTTGCTCGTCATTTACGTCCGGAGGCGAATCCGAGCGCGCCACGTCACCCGGACCCAGTGCATCCGGCCATCCGGATGGATCCGGATGACTTGGGCTTAAGACGCCGGATGTAATAATTCGCCCCGAAGGAAGCCTTCTGGTATCTTCCAAAAACCGCAAGCTCCAACACCTCTTCTTCTCCGACCTTCCAAGCCCGAAACTTCTCCTCCCCTTTTCGCTTCTTCCACAGCGACAGCCTTCCGACCCCAACGATCGAAGTCCCCCTCCGATCTTCACCTATATCCGGCTGATCTTCCTCTTCCAGTGCTGAAGCCCCATTGCCAAACTCCAGCCATCTGTTCCGCCTCCAAGTCCACGATTCCCTCAAGCCGAAATCTCCTCTTCCTCTTTCGGAACCCAAAGCTTCTTCATCTTCGATTTCCTCTAAAACCCAACTCCGACTCTACCTTCCGATCCACCCTCCCATCTTCCGACGCCGTCGACTGAAGCCGAACCAGAGCTTTAGTCGACCTCCACTGTCGACGCCTCCTGCTCTTCCCATCCGCAAACCTAGCTGCAACTCCACCAGACCGACCCCTTTCTCATCCTGTTTGATCTCCTCTAATCCGCCAGCCGAAGCCTCCAACCTCAATACCAAGTCGACTTCCAATGCCGCTGAAGCCTAGTGCCGACCTACCTAGTCGATTGAACCTACGAAATTATCTCTCTTTTTTTTTTTTTTGGGAAAATTTGGGCTTGGCCGTATATTAGAAAACTAAACAGTTATTAGAGAAAAAACTTTAACAAAAACGCTCCAAACAAAAAGGAGCAAGCTCTCAGAGCAACAAAAAACAGCTCATTCTAAAACAGCACTAACAAAAAAGAACCTAAAAGTCTACAGGAAGATAAAGCCATAGATCATATGGACTCAGAATATACCAAAACACAACTCTCCTTGGCCTATTGGTTGAGAGCTTAGGCTTCCAACTAAGAGGTCCAAGGTTCGAGTCTATGTGTATGCGTTGTGTGTGTGAGTTTGACTTAATTGGCCTAAATGTCCCAAAAAAAAAAAGAATAATAC